ATGAAGAAGAGTTATACGTAGTTCTCAATATCAGTTGCAAAGGCAGAAGTAAAATCTTTGTAGACGTCTTCCTTTCAAATAAAACCAAACCAAAACAAAAAACCACCAAACAATCAAACCAAAAAAACCCCAACCCCCCAGAATTTGAATGATAGAAACTGATTTTTTTTCAAGTACAAATGCTTTTAAATTGGGTAGAATTTGAGATATGATTACACACCTGGTTATAGGGTAAATATTCTCCCTGTTCTGTGCTACAGTGTGTACTACTTTATAAATTGTCTGATTGCTAGTCATTCATTTACAAAATTATTTTGGAGGAGTAGGTTAGGATGAGTTGTGTTGAGGGCTGTACCAGTATAGAGGAAGAGCTTCTGCCTTGCGTAGTTCAGAAATCAAAATATTCAGGTTTTTTTTTCCTAAATACTAGGCTTTAAAATAAGCAGCCCTGTTCTTAAACATAGAAAAGATATTACTGAGTAAAGTGATACCATTCATATTTCATCTAGGACACATGGGTTACCAGAATCGGAAGCAAATGATGGATGGTAGACACATTCTTTCATGAGTTGTCTAGAGGTTTGGCATCATCCTGTGAATCTTCCTCACTTGAGGAATGGTCTCTGGTGTGAGCTTGTTTCGTAGTAGCATCTGCTGTCTTAAATTAGTTAGATATGGTCTTCTAGATGTTACTGAATTTTGGTGGACTTTTTTTCTCCACGGGTGAAACCTTCTTGCTCTGGATTGTTGTGGGCTTTTTGCTGCTTCTTGAGGTTCTTTTTCCTTCTGTGCAAAAATAAGTATGGAGAGTAGGACATACTTGGATGTAGTCTGCAATCCTGTTCTTGAAAAGTAATAGAAGGGAGAAATGTACCCATACCTACAAATGTGGAAAAAAATAGTGATGGCTGTATGATTGCTGACTTAAAGAATTGGCTAAAAATAAGAAGATTGAAATGGATATTAGCAAAGAGGAACACTGAGGCAGAAGTGAAACCTGGTGAAAATCACCAAAACTGACAATAGCTGTTTGTCAAAACTGCGATGTTATTTTGAATGTACAGAAGTCTTACCTTGCTTTACATTCATCTCCTTGCGTTTAGTGTTGAATAAAGTAATGTATTCTAAAACTGAATCATCATTATATATAATTTGTTTGATCTATGTCATTTTACCAGCTGGTAGGTTTTTTTTCCACAATTGTGATGAAGGAAAAAATATAAAATAATATGAGTAGAGTATTAAGTGTTACCAGAAAGAAGCAGGCATCTTTTTTTGCCTCATAAAGCTGGTGGTATTGCCCACAAGAGAAGTATTTATGTCGCAGAAAGCTACTCTTATTTGCTGTAATACTGGTATGTCTTTACTGTTTTGTCCTGCTGTGAATGCTCAGCTCTTGGGATGCAGTTCCAGAATGTTAGCGGCTGATGTTGTTATTCACATCCTCTGTACAGGAGAGGACTGATTGTCACCTTAGTACAAAAGAAACATTGAGGGTTGTTTTGGTTGATCGGGTTTTTTTGTTTGGTTGGTTTTTTCCCATGTTTGTTACAGTAAAAATCCAAACTAGTTATGTGAAAGCTGAAGCAAGTCTGTTAGCTGTTCTGTACAAAACCAGTTTGGCTTTTTTACGTTTTCTGTTCCTTACTATACTGAAGAGTAACTAGATGCTTTTTCATTGTTTTTCTTTTTTTTTTTTTAGTGGATTAAGAGATGAGTAAGGCTCCATGTTCAGAAGTAGGGAAGTTGTGGCTAATACGTGGAATCTAAATAGCAAAACTTATACTTTTGAAGTAACATTTTTTTCTTCTGTAATAGTTGCTAATTTCAGGCATACCCAATATTACTGAGATCTGATAGGTTTCTTTGAGTAGCATGCCTCTGGAGTGGGGGAGTCAACAATGTTCAGAACTCTTTCAAAATATAAATTTGGCAAAATAAGAGACTTGAATAACCTTGAGCTTGTGGCTCAGATAGGCATAAAAATCAGATAGGGTTTCATAAAGTCATGCTGCACTTGTTCTTTTTTTGTGTGTAACTGACATTGTGTGGTGTTTATTTTGTGTGGTCTCGCAGCCTTGTGCTATTGGAGGAGTGACATGTTATTCTTGTGGAAGTAATGAAGCAGAAAGCCTTGAAGGATTATTTTTTTCTTAGTTGGACTGCTGTATTCTATCATTTGTTGGGCAGGTGTTGCTTTTTGGATTGCCCTAGAAGTGTTAGTCTGTTTCTCAGATATGCCAAGCGGGGACCTGACTGCAAGAGGCCATGCCTCTAGAACTGGCTCTGGGAATATTTCATTAAACTTGCAAGTTTCAGTCTTTCTGCTGTTAATCAAAACAGTACAGTAGTTTTATCCCTAATTTGGGGAAAGAAGAGATGCAGGGGACAGTAAGGAGAAGTAAAAACTTGGTAGGTATATTTGATTTCTGAAGGGTGGTATCCTGAGAGCAAAACAGATGTTAGTAACTATTAGCAGCCGTGAAGTAGAAACAGCCTGTGCAAAACTGCATTTGCCCCAGGTTCTACTAACTGTGCTTTCTGCAGTTCTCTTCCCTCTTCTTCACCAAATCTTCAAGTATTTGCTCTAGACAAGTTTATTACTCTGTTCTGTGATCAGAAGACATTGGCTTCATTCTTCATCTTATGGTCAAATTGTTAGGTGGGGTCCTGAGCATTATTATATAGAATATTGTGTAAAACTTTTTTTTGTTTTAACTGATCCGATGATGTTTTCCATAACAAAAGAATGTGCTAGAAGCATCAGCAGTTCAGCACTTTTGAAAAATTACTTGGGTAATGCAAATGACATTGGACAAATCATTCTGGTTTTGTAGGGTTTGCAGCGTTGTCAATATATGCCTCATAACTTCAGTTGACAGTGTTTGTGCTTCCTTGATGGCTTGAACATCAAGAGTTTGTCATGCTACTTGAGTTAAGCAGACTTGCTGCATTGAAATTGTAATGGTAAGTCATGAAAACAAAGGACTTGCCTTTTCTTGTTTTCCGCTAGAAATGTTTATTTTGTTGGGTTTTTTTTAATGTCTCTATAGAGAGAGAGAGAGGGGAAAATAGCTTTGCAAGTAGGCAGTAGATCATGTAGAGCTTAAGAAAAGTTAGTGAATGTCTCTCTCCTGAAAGAGGTGGGAAGATATTTTGAGGTACAGTGAGAATCTTGACTCTGTAGTCATGAAGACAGCATCTGCCTTTGTATTTTGCTCAGGATCTTCCTTGTTAAAAGGTGCCTCTGGTTAGGATGTGTTTTTTTTTGTTCTGGTACATAACTCATGTACAAGAGTGTGTGTTTTCAGGAAACCTTTCTTCCCTGCTGCTAAGAACAAAATAAATTCCACTGCTGTCCTCTTTCATTTTCCACTCCTTTTGTCATTTTTCCCTGTAAATTTTGTGTATGCTTTTACAAACTCGACCAGAACAGTAATGCTCTTGAGTTTCAATGCTGCTCAAAGAGTGAAAAATCAAAAACTTACAATGCCTACTCTCAATGTTTGAACTCTCCAACTTGAAACACAAATTAGCAGCAACTGAAATAACATGGAACTAGTGAAAATAAATTCAAGCACTTCATTTTGGTTAAGAATTTTACCTTTGTAGCTTAGTTCTGAGAATAGTTTGGGATTTTGTAGAATTTAATCACTTAAAACAGTTTATCATTTGGGATGGGCGGCTTAAAGTTTATCACAAGAGTTTAAGAGGGTAAGCCAGATAACTGAAAGTTGTTGTAACATGTAGCTTTCTGCTAATTGCTTGTTAAAGTCTCTGTTATCAAATTTTGTTACCTGTTGCATTTCATAGTTCTTCTTTTAATCAGTTACTTTTCAGCACAGAAAGAAGTATATAAACTGGCTGCAGCTTAGTTCATGTCGCCTAGTTTCAAAGATGAAATTACATTATCATATGTTGATTAAAATATTCTGGCTTTAGTAAGCATTGAGCACTTTCAACCAGTGGTTCACAGGTATATTAATTGTTGTTTGCAATGAGGAACTTGTTCGACAGAATTGGTTTTGATTATATTGAAAACCTCCCAAGTAGTATACTGGGTGTTGAGAAAAATGCTGAAGTTCAGTATTCCAGACCTGGATACTGAATCTACTGTGTAGGTGAATCTGAAGAAAAATAAGAATCCGCTAAAGTTGCAGAAAGTAATTTTGTACTGAAGTACTATTAACTTTCTGAAATAGTCATTTCTCATACCATCTGTGTTCACTCATCAAGTACAGATCTTCACAGATTGTGTTCCTTTTTAACATGTCAGTCACTATAAATTACTCTGGGGTTTGAGTAAGTTACCTGCTGTAGCTATTTGAATAGTCTTTGAAGGAGGACAAGCAAAGAGGAGATTAAGCATCCATCTCACGTGAAATTAAATTCAAGACAGTTTAATGTTGGCAAATGTTGACAGTATTAAAACTTGCTTCTCTAGCTAGGCTGCAGGCTTGTACCAGTGCAAAATAATGAGCTAAGACTGAAATCTGAATTATGTTTGACCAGTTGGCTGACAGAAGCCTGCATGCTGCAGTATTTGTTGAGCAGGTGGCTCATAACATTATCCACAGAAGATGGGAGTGTGAATGCCTGCTCTCAAAACGCTTTTCAGTATTTTTCTACAGAAGTTTCTGACACATAGTTAGGATTATTTTACTTCTACGGTTTATACACTTGTGTATAGGTATGATGCAATATGTAGAGTTAGCAGTTTGCTTCATCTGATGTCACCCAAGGAGAGACATACAGGTAATCTATAAATCCTGCACCAGAGCTTACTGTGTGCAAAACACCTTCTATGCTACGGACTCAAGACTGAGTGGGATTTCAAAAAAATTTAGAGTATCACATGTCCTACTTTACTTCAGTGATTAGGCTGTTAGTAGGAAAGTATCAGTTAAGTTTTTGTTTTCTTGGTTGCATGTGAGTAAAGATTTTGAAAAATTAGTTGAATATACAGTAAATGAACTTTTTTTTCTATTGTGTCTTTACAGGAGTACCAAAGTCAGATCTTCTACATACGAGATCTTTAAGGGGGCACAGAGACTGCTTTGAAAAATTCCACTTAATAGCAAATCAGGACTGTCCGCGATCAAAGCTCTCTAAAAGTCCATATGCAGAAGTAAAAAATATACTGAGCAAAAAAATTAACTGGATCATACAGTACGCACAAAACAAGGATTTAGACTCTGACCCTGAAAGCTCAAAACCATCCCAACACCAGCTTTTTAACTTCAGACATTCGACTGATAGAAAATTACTCCCCCAGTTTGACTCCCCCGTACCTAGATACTCTGCAAAATGGATAGATGGCAATTCCGGAGGCATCTCAAGCTGCTCACAAACTCTTTTGGAACAAAGAGAATCCACTGATTTCAGACTTGATGTGTTACAAGAAGCAGGTGCTACCTTCTGTTGCAGCAGTGTTTTGTGGTCTAATCACAACCAAGCCCAGAAAGCTGAAAAAGCTGAAGGTGCTTCACTCACCAGTGTTCATAGAAGGCATCCTCAGTACAGCAGGGAAGAATGTAAGTATACATCTGTTTACACGCAGCCTAGCAGGCAAGGGCATTCTTTGAAATATCTCTTGACCACTTAGTGGCCCCACAGGGCATTAATTCACCACCTGATATGCAGCTTTTAACAGTTTGGAGTTATGGTAAAACTTGTGAAGAAAAAGGCTACGTGGCGAGGAGGGATTTGTTTGGTTGCTTGTTTTTTAGTTTTCCTGTTACACCCCAGTGTGATACAGGACATGCTTTATTTACACACACAAAGTTACTGTTACAGTTGATTGCAGTCACATTCACGTGTCTGTCCTGGCAGTTGCACAGTCCTGCCTGTGGACGTTACTAAGCACCTGAAAACAACTGCTTTACTGGACTTGTGCGGTGCCTTGAGTTACGTTTTACAGAGAGCTGCCCTAAGCAATAGAGGAAATTAGAGGTAAGGCAGGAAAGCAAACTTGTGAAACACAACAAATTAAACATTCTTAATAGTAGCAGACTTTCCTTGCGCATTTTACTAGATTTTTTTCTTCTTTTATTGAGCATAAGAAAATGACAAGGCCTGTATGCCACCATGTATCCTTAAAAGCTGTAGCAGTAGACCTGTGCAGTTCTTTTGATGACTCTGATGATTCTGAAAGCAGTGGAAAAGAAGTTTTCCCATTATTTAAGAAGGAGGTCACTAGAAGAAGTCTTTAGAAAGATCTAGGATGTTGCAATGTCTCAGGAATCAACCTACATGAAATGTGTTAGGAGCAAGTTCCTGGAGATCTCTGCAGTTACCATTCTGCTTTTGGAACAGTGCCTGGTCCTAAAATTGAATACAGCCACTCTTACTTCTGTAGATGAGGATAGTAATGGGAGAAGATTTCTGAATTTCGAAAGACCTGAGAAAGATGACAAAATACTCAGTGGAAAGTTACTTAACAAAAAAGCAGGTAATAATGGAATTCAGAATGTCTGAAGAGAGTAAGAGGCACTGTAGGAAGTTAGAACCAGTTTCTTTAGGCTCTCTTGTTCGGTTTGTTTTTTGTTGAAACTGACAAACCTGTCCTTGCAAAATTCAGTCACTTTGCATTCTTTATAAAAGGATTTTGTTTAACTGCTTAAGACGCTTCATGTTGCATTTGTAGGGAATTAGTAGTCTTAAAGCAATAAATCAAAACAGATAAGCTGTGCTGTTTGACCACCTGTCCTCTGGAGTCATAAATTGGGATTACATAAATTAGGACAGCAGTTAGCAGGAATTATGAAAGCTTGACCTGGTTTATGGGGTTATCTAACAAGTTAGAGGCTTGAAATTTCTCTCTGATCTTGGGACAGGGGAACATAAAGCTGTTTTGAGCCTGGTAGCAGATTATTCCCACCCCACCCCGTTGTGACTGCATAATGGACTTTTGAGGCATTTTTGCTTTGTATTTATAAGTACTTGTTAAATCTTTTTTCAGTGTTTGGCTTTAAAAGACATTCATTTGGAGACTCCTTGATTATATAAAGTTTGTATTTTAGAGAAACTTAGTCAGACTTTCTTTGCCAGAGTTAGGTACCTTTTTATCGTAGCATGTCCACTGTAATGTCATAGCAGTCTACTAAAACTAAACAAAAAAAACCCAAAGCAAACAAAACCCAAACCACCAACAAAAATCTATCGTTAATATAACTGTAGATAGTTTGGTCAATGTTTCTTCTTAGTTTACCTCAGCCATGGATAGAATGAGCCTTTATAATTTAAATTGGGTGTTCTGTTTGTTCTCCATTTCCCTTCTGCATCAGAATTATGTGACATGAAACAGTCCTGTCCTGATACATACATACACTCACACAAAGTATATGAACCTGCTTATCTGCTGCAGTTGATGAAATGTTGATGAAAATAGTGAAGAAATGGGAAGTAACGTCCTACCACTGGGTATGAAAAGGGAAAAATATTATTGAAATTAAGTGGTTGATTACTGTATTCAATCTAATCAGGATTTTCATGGAGCTTGAAAAGTCTTAACTTAAAGCATGGTAAGATGTGAGAAAGCAAGTGTCAGTTGTACTGAAAGCCAAAGGTGGGAAGGAGCACTACTGTACGTGGATGTTTGGACAAGAAAGACGAATCTGCTTCACTCTTAAGAGGCCTTATGTCTGTCGTAACAAGTAGGCAGTCCTCTCTGTTGCCAACTTCTTTACTTTGGCAATACTGACAAAGTTAATATCCCATAACTGCAAGATATGAGAAGGGTTGAAAGAGAAGGCTTAGGATAATCAAAGAGTCCTCTGGTTAAGTAAAAACCATCCTTTTCAGAACCTACACTTTAAATTCACTGTATAGAAACATCTCACTGAGAAATCTCTGAACAAATGCTGCAGATTGCAATATAGGTGTTTCTCAAGTACGGAGCAAGAGCATTGCTAAGCTGCAGCATTGTCTAAAAACAATATTTAAGAATTACTAGGTCTTAAAGCTTGTTTCAGTGCCCTGTATCTTCCTATGGTGATCAAGATTGTCACTTTTCACAGTGCTGTCTAGGGCATCTCAGCAGCAGGCATGGCACCGACCTGCACCCACCACTGCTAGTGTGAGAGATTTCTAGGAAGCAGACCAGGACTTCCCTACTTGCTGCTGTTGATCAAAGGCTGCACAGAATACTTTCACAGCTCCCTCCTCTGATAGTTAATACATATTTTTCTATAAGGGTGATCAGTGTACACATAACCTGGGATACGGAAGGGCTTTTGAATGATGCAGAGGGTCTTTTAGTTCTCACTAGGAACACAGCACAAGAAAGCGAGAAGTCAACCTATTTTTGTGTGCTGATTTTAGTATCACACTAAGATTTTTTGGTTCATTATTTTTCACTGAAGTACTCAGTGCAAACTGTATAAATTATTCTTATGTGCATAAAGTGCAAAACTTCATAGGCAAAACAGGTAGCTGTGTGCTGAAAATTCTGTCCAGGAGCTGTTTCCTGTAGGCTTGCAGATGTAGCAGGCCTTATCTCAGAATTGTCCTCTTCCCCACAGTTAAATAGATGTACTTGCAAGGGTTACGCTATGGAAACCATGTTTTGTGGCCAGAGGAAGGTAAACTTGCTACACTAAAAGGTGTTAAAAGGCTTATAAGCGGTTCTGGTTCTGGATGCTTCTGTTTTGAGGGCTTGAGTTTCCAGCTTTTTGACACTGAAGAGGCTTTCCTATGGACCAAAGCCTTATCTGTCAACATAAAACAGAATTTTCAATTTTTCCACAAAGACTGATAAATAAAGTTGTCTCTGACATACTGCCACACATCTGTTGATTATTAGGATGCAAATGACAATTTGAGAAAACAGTCTGCTTAGGGATGCTTATGTGACTTGGGTAGAAGTAATAACAGATTTTATTGTTACAGTGACTACGATGACTCCTGGAGAGTTAAAGCAACTTAATGAAAAACTGCTCAAGCAAATCCAGGGTGAGAATTTTTCAATAATCCTCATTTTGGCTTTGTGTTGCTTTGTAATTAAAAAAATGTCTTGTTTAAAAAAGCAATTGTGATTGCTTTACTGTCAGCCAAGTTTTGAACTGCAATCTCTGTATATCATACTTCCATATAAAACAAGAAACTTACAGGTTTTTATTTTGTAACCTCCTTGGTCATTGCAAACTGGCACTTGAATGTAGTATTTTCTTCAAGTTTTTTGATGGGAATCAGCTGTATTTTGAGTTACAAACTGATCCGCCAAGGCTCAGGTCACCTAAAACTTTAAACTGGTGATCCTGGTCAATTTACTGAAGCTGAAGTTTACAAGCTGTGCTGGAATCAGAAAAAGTGGTGTTCTTGTGCTCAAGGCCACTGAAATGTCTGTGCCTTTGTTGTAGTAATGTTCAGTGCTGCTCCTTAACCCCATGAAGGTGCAGGGACCAGGTGCATTAATGCAATCATGTTCTTGCAGATGTGTTTGAAGAACTGACGCAGCAAGTCCAGGAAAAGGACTCTTTGGCCTCGGAGCTCAACGTCCGTCACATTGCTATCGAGCAGCTGCTGAAGAACTACTCCAAACTGCCGTGTCTACAGATGGGGCGAGCAGGGATGAAATCAAACGTCCCCATATAAAAGGGGTGCAGCTTCAATCCCCCTACAGAGCTAACTTGCCCTAATAGCTTTTGTAACAATTAGGTATAGCTGCACAGGTATTTAGAAGCTTTTGAGGGAACTTGGGCAGCTTTCTCTTTGCATTCATAATCCATGAGAAGTCTTATTCCACGTTGGGTTTTAACAAAAAAGGCAAATATTTTAGGGATTAAAATCTGCTGTAATAAGGTTTATTCATTTAGAGAATTTTTTTTTGCCCATAGCTACGCATGAGACTTCAAAAGAATTTTGTGTTTTGTTGATAATAAAACTCTTTCTAAAAAAGAATGAGCTGAAGCCTGTAACCTGCTTCCTTCACACAGAGGAAAAATAAAAAGTTGAGTTTTGATCAGGTCTGATAATGTTACATCCAGGAGAGCTTTAAGGGGAGAACAGTATTAATGAAACTTGTGTTTTCTTATTTATTATGAGCAATATTTTATTATTGAAATTTTATACTAAATAAATATCACTATTTTAGGTACTTTTCCAGATCTCTTTATAAAATGTCTGAATTACTCCGTGTAATGTTTATGCCTTGTGTATGATTGTTTATCCTTTTTCAGGTCTGTATCTTTCATGATACAATTTAAAAAAAAAAATAATTCTTGTTTCCCAAAGAGATGAATTTCACATATTGAAGAAAAAAAAAATGTGTGGTGGTGCATCACTTATTTTTATCAGCTTTATAACTGAAGAAATTGGTTCATGAGATATGTTTAAGAAGGAAAAAAAAGCACAGCACTTCCTTTAAATTAAAAATGAAAAATCCACACTTGGGTTTTAATGCATAGAAGTTGAAGTTGTTTTGTATGTGTGAAATTTTCAATGCTGAGAAATTACTTTGAAGAAGCTAAATAAATTTTTAATACTACGTTACTGTGTTACAAGTTTTTTATAAAGTTGCATCAGGCTATGATAAAGTGTTTTCATTATGAAATGCAAATAGTAGTGATACACTATAATACAGAACAGCCTCTGCTTTTTTAAAACTCCTGTCAGCCTACCATACTGACAAATCTTAGTTAATCTTCGCCAAAAATACTTTCTGTAGAGCAGTGTTTGTGCAACTGAAAGTTGAGTTGCACTGAAGAAGTCAGGGGCGGGGGGAGAAACTTCCCCTGTGTTAAAGTTAAAGTCATTGTACTTTCTGATTTCATCACTTGAAGTGAAAACAAACTGATTTATAAAGGTGAGCTGAAAGAATAACTAGCATGAAGAGAGGTGTAGTTTTGATTTTAAAATCAAACGGAAGTAAGCTGAAGTTCAGATTAAGTTTATTGATTGCTCTGTCTATAGTGGTATCTGGACTACATAGGTTAATTTTTTTTCATATTTTATTTCTGGAAGGGCCATGAAAGGGGTTTGGATCAGCTTGAGTATGCATGAGTGAGGACTTGAACTTGTCTGTCTCGGGGGAGGTTTTTTTGGGTTTAGGAGGGGAAAAAAATCTAGCATCATTGCTTGTGTACACAAATGGGCCCACAAGTAAATGTGCACTAGCTAATCCCTAATTATAGTTGTGAGAAGATGGGTTAATCTCCATGTACAAGTCTATAAACCTTATTAATGCAGTATTAAGATAACTGCAAATGTAAGGTGAGAGGAGAAATATCATTGTAACTCCATCTGTGAAAATGACCATCATACAGATGGAGTGAGGCTGGATGCAGAATTCCCCAGGTGTCTGATCAGACTGATGAGGGTCTCAACTTGGCTTCACTAGATAGTGAGGAGAATTCAGTTGTACTTCCACTTTTGTTGTTGTGCTGGTTTTGACTGGGATGGAGTTAATTTTCTTCATAGTAGCTAGTGTGGGCTTATGTTTCAAATTTGTGCTGAAAGCAGTGTTGATGCCACAGGGATGTTTTAGCTATTGCTGAGCAGTGCTTACACAGGGTCTTTACTGCTCCTCAAGATACCCCACCAGCAAGTAGGCTGGGGGGCTGTACAAGAAGTTGGAAGGGGACACAGCTGGGACAGCTGACCAAAGGGCTATCTCATGCCATATGACATCATGCTCAGCATGTAACACTGGGGGAAGAAAAAGGAAGAGGGGAACGTTCAGGATGATGGAGTTTATCTTCCTAAGTAACCATTACATGTAATGGAGCCCTGCTCTCCTGGAGATGGCTGAACACCTGCCTGCTAATGGAAAATGGTAAATGAATTCTTGTTTTGCTTTGCTGATGTGTGCAGCTTTTGCTTTATCTATTAAACTGTCTTTATCTCAACCCACGAGTTTTCTCACTTTTACCCTTCTAATTCTTTCCTCCATCACTGTGGGGGAGTGATTGTGTGGGGCTGAGCTGCCAGCTGGGGTTAAACAAAAACTATCCTTGTGAGAATGAAAAGTTGAATCTACAATTTAAGTCCTTCCTAATACATTTCTGGGTTTTATTTTTGTTACATCAGGTTTTTGATCCAAACAAGGTTGTGGGGGCTTTATTGGTTTTAAGATGGATTATAATTAGGAAGGATAATTTTGAGGGCACATAAGCTGTGGAAGCACAAATTCTTTTTTATCCTTTGCCTTCAATATAATTGTGAGTCAGGGGAAAAGGAAAGCATACACCTAGTGTGTATGCTTAAAAGAAAATAACTAACTAGCTGTTTTTTCTTAAACTCAAGATGCAGAGGCAGTCAGCAGGTACCGCAGCTGTCTGGCAGCTCTGAACTGGAGTTGCTGCTGCCCATCTCTGTAGCCCAGAGGAGTTCAAGAAGACAAATGCAGCAGTGTTCTTGGGTACTTTGGTTTAAAATACTGTGCTATAAGAATGCTGATACCATCACATGCATGGGATTTCTTCTCTCACTGCTTTCCTGACTCCCTGGGAAATCTGTCTGGTGTAAGTCTTGCGTTGATGGAGCTGTTTCTGTATATGAAAGGCTGATCTTTCAGATGTGTGTATTCTGAAGTAGTGAACAAGCTTCATACAAGGTGGGGGGGAAGACTTGTATTTCCAGAAGCAATGCTTGAGGCTATGAACGCCTAGCAAATAAAATGCAATTTGAGGCTCGTAACAGCTTAACATTTACCAGTTTTCATTTGCCTTTTATTACTTTATTTCAGTGCCTGGAGACCCCAACAGTGAGAACACAGCTGGATCTAAGGCTCCATTAGACTGTAATTAAATTCATAAGGAGGAGTCTTGCTTGATCAAAATGAAATCTGTATGAGTATAAAAGAGCATACCACAAAGTGAGATCCATTTAAGAGCTTAATCTATTGTCTTCATGCAGATTTTTCTTTTTTTCTTAGGAGCAACTTAGTAGCTGCATTTTGAAAACGTTGCTCTCCCCTTTTCCTAACTTGGGAACCTCATGTTGGGCAGGGGTATTTTGTTAGCACCCCTAGATGATAACACATGCACTGGTTTCCACGCCAACAAACCATTTCCAGAAAGTGGATAGGGGGCTTGGGGCTTGTTGCTGCCTTTTAATTAATCAAACTGTAGGAACAGGTTGATTTTTTGTTTGTTTTCAGCCACGTAATGTTTTCTAGGTAATGCAGCAGTTTATGCCAAGATTGGAAATGCTATTTATATATAGCAAATATGTAATAGATTGCACAGGGAGTTAAATTTGTTTTGCAGTTGTAAGGTAGGCTTCGACTTACACATATTTAAATACTGAGTTTTAATTTTGATGAAAGAGTAATAAAGCAATCTGTTCATTTCTTTTTCTGATGAACAGATTGCTTATGTTACTAATTTTTCCCCAGGGTTTTTGGTTTTAAGAAATAAGTGTTGTTTCTGGTTTTTACTGCCTGTAAAATTAGTGAGGTATAACTGAAACAACATTTTGGAAACTCTGTAGGAATAGCATTAAAGCTATTAAAGTCGGTTCATGTGTTAAGAAAACTTTCACACAACAGCTGCAGTTCTAAAACATCTCCAAATCATGATGCTTCTGGCTAAAAGAAAGGTTTACATTCATAAAGACTGCAAGTAAATGTGTTTGTGGTTTTTTTTAACTTATTTTTTTTAATCGTGTTGTGAAGCAGCCCTCTATTCACTTTTGGTTTGCAATGATTAAGTGTGTTAGTATCTCTTGGCTTCAAGTTCTTAAAAAATTATTTCATAAGGATGTTATGTTATGTTATGTTATGTTATGTTATGTTATGTTATGTTATGTTATTATGTTATGTTATGTTATGTTATGTTATGTTATGTTATGTTATGTTATGATGGTGTATTGGAATAAAGCGAAGTAGGAGTGCCAGTGGCCACAGCTCTCCAGGTAGGTTAAATTCTGCAGTAGGGTGGAAAAACACAGAATGCTACTAAATGACTGTTATTGTTATCTAGTGTAATAAGAACACAAGTCAATGGTGGGTCCCACTGTGAAATGAAAAGCAGAACTGTATTGGGTTTTTCACCTCCATTTAATTTGTATCCCATATCTCTTTTGCCATAGAGTCCTGAAACCTGCAGGGCATGTCTTGCAATCACTTGTTTATCCACCATCTGCCTAAATGTTTGTTTAAAGGACTATTTTGCTCGATTACTGAGAGCACATTAATTTGTCGGTTGAAGGTGTTTCATTCTTGTCCATGAGCCCTTCCTAAGGTAGCCACATTGGACACCTGGTCCTTGCCTGCACTGGCATCCTCCTCTGCTCACTGTAGTCTCCACTCCGGAGCTGCCTCCATGAAAAGCCTGAGAAATGCCATTGTTTTGGTTTAAAAAACAACAACAAAAGAAATAGTAATTGCCTTCTCAGCACTAGTAATACCCAAACATTGCCTCTCTGCCCTGCCAACACTCAGTTTGTGCTCTGGATAACCCACCAGTGCCTTCCCCGCTCACCCACTTGCCATTTGGCTGCCAGCCTTCCCCACACCCTGGGCAGAGCTCCCGGAGCCCCACTCAGGTTTTGGAAGCTGCTGTCACATGAGACAGCATGGTGAGAAAGAGGAGAGGTACAATCACAGGATAGGTAGGATTGTTGACAGAGCAATTTACTGGTAGCTCAAGAATTCACGAGTAAAGCGCGAGCATGAAATGGTAGAAAATTGGGAAGAATGAAGGGTGCCGAGCCCACAGCTGGCAGTCAGTCAGGTCATCGGTGTTGACAGCATCAGTGGATTTGGTGTGTGAGTGCAGTTCAACAGTCCCCAG